CTGCGACACGGCACTCCTCGTCGTACCAGCTGTTCTTTTGTACTTTCCGAAAACCAATGGTTTCGGTTGCGGCTGTACGTAAAGAGTTTGAAATGCCGTAATAAGTAAATAGGTAAATTTATTTGTGTTAAATTGTCAATTGTTATTATAAATGATGTAACAGAGATATTTTATGCTTTTATTTGTAAAATAACGTCAGGTTTGTTAGAGGTTTGAGTATTTTACATTTTACGTATTAGTGGCATTACCACTCTACCTCATCTCTCTATCCATTCTAATGTAAGATTTTTTTTGTCGACCTACTGTCGTTGGCAAATATAGGATTAAATTGAGGTTAGCGAGAACGACAACTGTCGGCCTGCAGTCGTGTAGTCGTGCAGCTGTCAAAATAGGTCCGTTCATAAAAAGTGTGTATTTTAATATTTGACAGATGTCGTTTGCAGTCTGTCGCGAGCATTGTATTCAACACATTAGAGAGATAAGGCGGTATGTCGATTTCTTTTAGGTGGCCAGTTAGGATTAGATATACTGGCGAGTGGTCCGAATTTAAGTCCAATCCATTTTCAATAGTATGTAATGAATTGGATATTTGTCGAGTGATGAAAAAGTCGATTAAGTCAGGTAATTTCCTTGTGTCGGAAGACCAGTAAGTCGGCTTACCAGTAGACATGAAGTCGTATCCAGTGGCCGTAACAGCTTTAAATAGCTCTCTTCCCTTCGGTGTCGTAACTCTTGAACCCCATTGTGAGTGTTTTCAAGTCCACTTTAATATTGTGTCTAGGTGGGCTACATATTGCGGTAATGCTTATTTTTCTGAAACTAGATTCAACCGTTATGGTCGTAGTTTGAGATTCTGGGATACTTATATTCATTTTGTCGTAGTGGGGAATATTATCTATGTTAATTGTAGCATTCCCCCCTTTCGCATTGTTATTTGGGTGATTCGAGCAATACGTCTTGTAGTTTTTGAATCTAACAAAAGTCCCCTTTGTAAAATGAGTCTCTGGTATAAGACAAATATCGATTTTACATGGAGTAATGTCTCTAATTCTTTACTACGTTTGAGCAAGCCATTTGCATTCCAGCTCATAATTTTCATCGGTTTAATTTTTGCGCCTTGTTTTTGCTGTGCTATCGCTCTAGTTTAGTAAGACGTTCTTCGTGGCATTCGTATTTTTTTGATTTTCAGACAGATGCTGTTGAGCTTTATTAGCACCTTTAGTTACGCTGGTGAATGTGGGCTTTCCAGATTGGTGATTTGCAGTAGTGTCTTCTTTCTGAGGGGCAGGGGAAGTGATTGTACTTAAGCGTTTTGGTTCATATTTATGTTCTTTATTTTTCCCAGTCGCGTTTTTAATTTTTTGTAGTTGCTTTGCCACTTCACATCTCCTATAGTTCGCAGGGTGATTTTGACTACAGTTACAGCATTTTGGCGTTAGTTCGGCAGGTTTTGTGAAGCTTAGTGTTGAATGATTTCCAGCGCACTTTACACACCTCGGTGGTTTACAACAATGGTTTCTAGTGTGACCGAACGCCTGACAGGATTTACACTGCGGKACAAGATTCGATGGCTTGATGGGCTTGAGTTGTAACTACAAAATTTAGAATATGTTTGATTTCGTAAATTGTCTTAATGTTCTCTGTAGGTTAAAAACATACAATAAACATATTTAACGGGTTTTTTTTGTTTTATATTGAAGTTTGTTTAAGACTTTCGTAACTTTAAACCCTTGCTTTTGAAGATCTGTGATAATACTTTCAGGCTCACATGAGTGATGAAGGTTTTCTCACATTACGCGTATATCACGCGATTGTTTGTCTTCGTACGAGTACCAAGGAATTTTCGAGTCGTTTAATTTCCTTGTAAGTATTCTGTAGTCGGAACTATCTGAAAGGTTTATTTTACAGGAATTTGTTCCAGTGAGCTTGAGTGTGTAAGATTTTTTTACATCTGCGTCAATCAAGGAACGCATCAAGGGTTGGTTAAAATTTCCCGATATTATAATTGGCGGAGGGGATGGCTTACTTTTATATCTGTTTTATCTTCTGCTATTCCATCCGGAATTGGAGACTTCAGTGTTACATCCGGTGAAGAATCTGCTTTTCGTTTCTTACTTTCCCTACTTTTTTCTTTTTTAATAGCCAATTTGTTTCTTTTTCAACCTCTTCTTCGTCTGTTTCGGCTGCGAAAGTCGATTTTGATGGAGAAGAAGACGTTTAATTTGCATATTCGGTTAGCGATTTCTTTAAGTCTTCATTTTGAAGTTTAAGTGCCGCATTTTCGTTTTTCAATTCATTGTTCAACGTTTCTATTTTTTAATGCGTTCGAGCAACATACCTATTTGGTTACATTGTGTACCCCTACCGGGAGGCGGAGTTTGTATGTCCATCACGATCTTATTGAATTGTGGTTAAAGAAACTGCCTTATCAACTGCTGCCGACTGCTCTTGCAGATAATGTAGTGTTCCTGGCCACCTACAACTCTGCGTAGACAGCTCGTTTGCCATGGGACAGAAACAGATATTCACTTTAAATGTTCGGAGGAGAATTTTTTGCGCGAACATTAATTGAGTGGTTTCAATATGGTATTATTTTTTTGTTATTGTTTTAAATTTCCAAGGTTATATGATATATCACTTATGTATTTAACTATTTTTGAAGAAATTTCGAGTAAATTGATATATCGCGTGGTGCCAACGATGTTAAGGTCCTCCGGTGAATCTACTTACGAATTTCCGCAGCCGGGATTTTACGTATAATACAAGAAATTGAAGAGCACACCTTACTGTTGACCGCACGCGCGTAACTCAAGAAAAAGAAAAAAAACAAATGAAGTACTTACACTGTGGAACATTTTTGGGATTATTGTCTGGGAAGTGAGAAATTCCAAGTCAGGGTGATGGTACTAGGTCAGTATAGTAAAACCCTCAAAGGGTTT